GGGGGCCCCACGCCTCTCCTCCTCTCCCCCTTTCTCTGACCAGGCCAGGTACTTGGCGCAGATCATCCTGGTGGGCGTCCAGGTGGTGGGCAGAGCCTTTGCCCGGGCGCTGCGACAAGAGTTTGCAGGTGAGTGCCAGGGGAGAGGGGCTCCGGCCCCCGGGACTTGTCGGGCTGGGTCACCTGCCTGACCCACTTCTGCCAAAGGCGCCTAGGAGCACCCGCCCTGCCCTGCCCCCCCCCGCCTCTGGAGCGGAGAATTGGGCAGGAGGTTCACCTGCGGTTGAGCTCTCAGGGCGGTGGCTGCCCCCCCCCCAAGGACGGCAGGCAGGCAGGCTCCAAGGCTGGGGTACAGCAGTCCAGCTGGTCAGGGCCTGTTCTGCCCCCTGTGAGAGCCGGGGTTCTCCCTGTCTTTGCAGCCAGCCAAGCAGCAGCAAACGCACGGGGGAGCCGAGGGCCACAGTCCGCAGCCGCCTCCAGCCTCTCCGGTGTCAGCCTCCAAGAGGCTCAGCAGATTCTCAATGTCTCCCGGCTGAGCCCAGAGGAAATTCAGAAGGTGAGGCCCGTGGCTTGGGGGCAAGGGTGGTATTGGCAGCGAGACGGGAAGGGACGGAGAAGCTCTTCTCCTGGAGCAGCTTCTCCCACTCACTCAGGGACACACCTGGTCTGGTCCTGCCTCAGCCCTCGTTACGGCAATGCCTAGCTCGTCCCTGGACATTTCCAGGAAAGACTCTGGCCTTTGCTGCCACGCATTGATAATGAAATTATGGACCCAACATGTAACTCAGGTGGAAGAACTTTCTACTCTTCCTAAAATGGAGGAACACAAAAGTCGTCCATTCCTATGAGCTGCGGCAGTCGAACCTCTGTCTACAGATACAGCATGTCTGTCAGTAGCAGTTACTGGCGGGGGGGGGGAGCGGTAAGAGGCCTCCTTTGCCTTTTTTTCTGCTCACAAGCAACCCCAATAGGTTTCACTGGCTACGGTGGGAGGTAAACCTGGATCTTCAGAGCGTATCCATCATTCCTTTTGGCTTGTGCCCATTGTTCCCCCACGCATACACACTTCAAACCTCCAGAAGTCCTGCTATGCTCGGGGTGATTCCAGTTGTTTGGGGAGGCTTTGCTGATTTTTGCTATCGCATGCTTTTTCTTGGCAGAACTACGAGCATTTATTTAAGGTGAATGACAAATCCGTGGGAGGCTCTTTCTACCTGCAGTCCAAGGTCAGTGTGAGGGGATGCCTTGTCTTGGCCGTGTGTGTGTGTGTGGGGGGGGCTGGGCTGGGCTGGGCTGCAGAATGTCCACATCAGTGGCACACCAGGGCCATGGGCTCTTATGCCAGCCTTTGCCTTTTGATGCCAGGAGTCTCCTTAAGTGGAATGCTCCGATCTTGTCTATCCCTGCCCTCATTTCCTTTGCTAACAAGGAGGCTGACTATCTTAAAGTCATTCCCACCTATTCAAAAGCCAGGTGGTTCTTACGTTTATCCTCTGCGGTGCCCGGAACTTCTGGAAAAGCTGGCTCGTTGACTGGAAAAGCTGGCTCCCCCTGAAGGCCAAAAGGTGGGGGGCCTCCCACTTTTTGGCCTTCAGGATTTGGGGGCCAATTCCTCTGCTCCTTTGGGGTGCTGGGGGTGGGGAGGGAGACCGAGGCAGTGACAGCACAGGCCAGATCCCATTCCTGCTCACCTGCAAGCGCTTCCCATCCAACCAGATTGCACGGAAGACCTTTTCCTGGCACCAAAGGGGGAGGTTGCATCCCCGGCGCCTGTAGAGTCCCGTGGGTCATACTACCCCTTCTGCAGTGGGTGGGCAGCCCCTTGCCTCGGCAGGCACCTTGGCACACATCCTGCCTGACCCATGGAACAGGCCCTCACGTGCCATCCCTCTGCCCCACAGGTTGTCCGAGCCAAGGAGCGTCTGGACGAAGAGCTGGAGATGCAGTCCCAGCAGCAGCAACAGAGAGAACAAGGCTCAGAGCGCAAGCCAAACACGTAGCAGTGGTAGCGGCCGCGGTGGCAGCCTCTCCCCAGCCCCCCCCCAATCGTTAAATTATAGCTGTGCAATAAATGGCCCTTGTCTACCGCCTGCCTGTGACCACTGCGGCCTGTTGGGGGGGGAGGGAGGCAGAGAGTGCCATGGCGGGAGGGGGTGGGCATTCAGTGACAAGCATTTCCCTTCCTTCCTGGAGCGTCCCCTTGTCCAGCCAAGGGGGCTGGCCCTTCGCTCTCAGAGCCTGGAGGAAGGAAAGCCAGCTGGGGCTGAACGTCTCTGCCTCTGGCGGCTTTTCTTCTCCTCCGAGGCCGTTTTAAACAGAGGCCATCCATTCTCCCAGCCTTTCCCAGGTTCCAGAGACAGGGTTGGGGGGCCTGCTGGCCGAGGACCTTGCAAGGCTCCAAAGGTGGAGGGCCTTCCTGATCCCCTTGGCTGTAGCTCCCTGGCAGGGCAGGCACCCCCAACCCCCCCTTCCTCCCCCCAATCCCGGGCTAGGGATCATGCCCTGACAGGTGGGGCCGAAACCCTTTCCCACCTGTCTCCAAGAGAGGGAAAGGTTTGCAAGTCGCTTGTAACTTCCTGTCACTGATGGCCTTTCCTTTTGGAGCTGGTTTGCACGGCCTTCCTGCGAGGAAACGTCATTGGGGTGTGTGTGTGTGAGGAACGCTTCACAAAGATCCATGCATCTGGCACACACCCTCCGGCCTGCCTTTGGAGGTGATGCTGATGGCCGTAAGAACAGAGCAAGCAAAGCCCCCTGTTCCTTTCCCGAAATTAGGATTGGGTTAGGGCGGTTTTGTTCCCGCAGTCCAGACGCCTGTGCGTGTGCACACTTCAGTCACACCTGCCACCCACCTCACACTGGCACACAGGAGACTTTTTGGATTCACTTTATTGTTTCTAGAACAACCCTCCTCTTTTCCCAGAGGGTGGGTTCAGGTCAGATCGTAGCTTATTTCTTTCTGTCTTAAACTAGGCTAACAGTGACGGAGGCAAGAGGATGTGGGGCGGGGGGAACCCAACATAAACTACAATAGAAAGGCACTTCGAAACTGTTAAAAATACGGACAGCCTGGGAGGGGCAAGGACAGACAGAAAACGAAACGGACACGTACGCCGGCTCGTAGGCCTGGTCAGTCAGCAAAACATGCTAGGCCGCAGTTGGCCTGGGTTGGGGGGGCTGCTGCGCCGCTTCCAGCCTGGGCAAGGGTGCGCGTGGGTGCACACGCAACCGCCACACACACACTCTCCGCCTTCTGCCGAGCGCTGGGGAGGCCAGCTCCCCTCGGCCAAGTGGGGCAGGGTCCCAGGCCACGTTAACAACAGGGGGAGGGGGAGATGCGAGGTTCTTTGGGGTGGGGGGGTGATCTGAGGAAGGGGCAGCAGCTGGTAGGGGTAACCTGTGGAGATGGAAGCCCGAAGCAGCAGGGGCCCCGCTGAAAAAGGGGGACACGCGCAGAGAGGTACACAGGGACCCCTTTGTACAGAAAGAGGGTGTGGAGTCATGGCGTGACCCTCCCAAAATGGGGGAGGGCAGTCAAGAGGTAACAGGGAGGCTCTTCCAGCAAGATCTTGAAGAGGGGTGGCCCCTTCTCTTCCCCCCCCCATGGGTCCAGGGAGGTGAAGGTGAACTGGGGCTCAGGTGGCTTTCATAGCAGGCAGCGGGGGGGGGGGCGGAAGAGGAAAATTTGTTAGGCATTTGTTTCTGCCTCATCAGAGCCAATTAACAGGATTTGCAGGTCAGAAAGGGAGACCTCAGGGCTTGTGGAATCGCTCCAACCCAAGTGTGTTCTCAATCACCCTGACAACAGCCCTACCAGGTGGGACCATCTTCCCAATGACCTGTCCGGCTGATGGAGATGGCGGGGGGGGGTTACCACGGGGCTCCAGCTTGGGGCAAGACAGAGACGTACCACCTTCCTGGTGGGTTCTGCCCTTCACATCTACGCAAGAGATGCCCCCTCTTTCCAGCGACACCCACCCACCTACCCTCCAGCCTAAAAGCCAGGAAGGGTCGATCTGGAACCCTCCCGTTTGGGGCCTCTGCCTGCCTCTTTCCAGACGAAGCAGCATGGGGAGCCCCGGGGACCAGGAGGGCAGGTACAAAGGGAGGCTGATGCTCCATCCACGCGGGGCGGGAGCGAATCATGGCCAGCCAAGAGGAGACCCGAGGGAGATGGGACAGGAGGGGCTCCCGCCCTGGCCCCAATCCCAGGCTGCCTTCAGAGGTTGCAGTGCAGCTTTAGCGCAAGGCGTTGCTTCTAGAGGAAAGTGAATATTTCAGTTCCTCCACGTCAGGAAAGGCATCGCTGAGCAGCACACCCTGGGGAGGGGCGCCTTGTCGCAAGGTGGGGCGGGGCGGAGAGCTGAGCCAGGCGAAATCCTTCCTAGTGGGTAGGTGGGAGCGGAGGGTCAGCCGCTCGGCCCCAGTGGTCCTGCTTGGGCAGGGGGTGGGAGCAGCAGCTTCCGACCTGCCAGCAGAGAGATCCCTACTCCTGCTCTTCCCAGCACGGCCTGCCAGAGGGCGAAGAGGTCGGATCCTGGCTGCTGCTGCTGCTGCTCAGGGAAGCCGTGCTTATTGCTTTATTCAGCAGCAACGGGCTCCTCGGTTGTGTGTGGGTGAGTGGCGAGGGGAAGGGGGCAAGGAGTGAGCCGAGATCAGCAGCAGGGAACAGGTTCAAGGGGGTGGGCAGCGCTCCCTTCTGCCCCAAGACGGGGCTCTTTCTGCTCCCGGAAGGCATCTGGAACCGTGTGGCATCTGGCAGCTTTTCTGCAGCCGAAGGGGTGGCTGGCGGTCTGTGAAAGGGTGTGCCGACGAGGCGAACAAGCCGGCCAGCAGGCGCCTGGCTGTTTTGACGGCTCCCGGAAGAAGCCACAAGGCACAGAGACCCCAATCCGGAGCTGGACTTGAGTCCCAGCAGGAGCAGGAGCCACCTCAGGCCAGGAACGGGGAGCTGGGAATCCCTTCTCCTCAGCTCAACAGTTTCCCCAGGACAAACCAAAACTGCTCCCAACAGCCACTAGGGTGGTGGTGGTGGTGGTCGTCATCTTCCTCCTCCTCCTCCTCTTCCTCCTCCTCCTCCTCCTCCTCTTCCTCCTCCTCCTCAATTCACCACCGCTTGCTTCAGCAACACCGAGCCCGTCGGGATCACCACCCAGCCCGGGGGGGGCACGGCCTCAGAGGAGCTTCCCACAGAGTTCATGCCGGTGGAGAGGTCCAGGACCCCCCCGGGCAGCAGCGACAGGGCCTCGGCCGCCGTGGGCCGCAGCCGGGCCAGCTCAGTCCGTTCGTTGGCCTCCTTGCAGCGCTGGGGACCCGGAGCCCGGGCTCCCCTGGAGCCACCGCCACCGCCTTTGGCCAGCCGATTGTTGTTATAGATAGTTCCTTTGTATCAGCTTAAGTGGTGCAGCCTTGTGTATGCACAGTTTAAGCTGGTCCAAAGGAGCTATCTAAGCAGAGAACCATATTTCTGCTTTCCAAGCACTGGAAG